AAAAAAAAGGATAGGTAAAAATAGCAAAAACTGTATGACCCTTTCATAGGCCGGCCCTATATTTCAGGGGTTGGAAACCTTTGGCTCCCGGCTCGTCAGGGTAAGCCGCTGGCGGGTTGGGACGTTTTGTTTACTTGGAGCGTCTGCAGGCATGAAGCCCCTCAGCTCCCTGTGGCCGTGGTTCGCGGTTCCCAGCCAATGGGAGCTGCGGGTAGTGGCGCACCACTTCCCGGAGCTCCCATTGGCTGGGAATGGCGAGCCGTGGCCACAGGGAGCCGAGGGACTCCATGCCTGCAGACGCTCCAGGTAAACAAAACAACAGTGTATTAGATATTCAATTCAATGATTCCATAGAGTTTAAAATCATCAAATTTTGGTGTAGACCTGTTTATAAGCCGACCCCTGCTTTTTGATGTGTCACATTTTTACTAAAAATATGTGGCTTATGAATGAGTATATATGGTACTTGCAATTTAAAGCTCTTAAAAAGCCCTGATCCTGCAATGAGCTCCATCTTAGCAGACTCCTGAGCCTACACAGAATTCTGGATGGATCAGGGATCTGCCTGCACGAAGCTCCTTGTGAGACTGAGGCCTTAGTTTGTATTCTGGGGCCAAAACTACTTAAAACATTGCAGGTTGTTTGTTATAGGATTGTTTGTCCAATCATGCAAGCCATACTCATCTGAGGAGGCCTACTGAAGCCAGTGGGAACATTTGTGGGATTAATGATTGCAGAATTGGCCCTGTCAATGCTCATGTACCTATGAAAAATAAATTAGACATCTATGAGATAGTCGTAACACATGAAATGATTAATTGTTCTTATCATGAAATAACAAATGTCTGTCAGTGTGATGTCTAATATCATGTTATAAGCAGCTAGCTGGTTTTATGATATTTAATATTTTTATATGTATTGTTTACCAAACGGGACATAAGAAGAAATATTGCAAGACTTGTTGATACTTAGTTGTATAAACTTTTTTAAAACATAAAATAATACTGTTCTGCTTGGTTCTAGTTCTTTAGAGATAACATTTTCAGAACTACAAAAAATCAAATTTCAGAGGTGTAAAGTTGCATTAGGCACAGACTATAAACCTTGCTCACTGGTCCGATTTGTGCAGTTCTATAAAAATAATCATTGATATTTCCTACTCTGTTAAACCATGTTTTATAGATGGTTATGGAGCAGCTGCTTTAAATATGAAACGTGATCCACTGAAATTGAAAAGCACCGGGAATGAATTTCCTCTAACACTTGGTCGAGATGTATCTGGTGTAATTATGGAATGTGGGCTAAATGTGTCCTATTTCAAACCTGGAGATGAGGTGATGTAACTTGTCTCATTTTTCTAACTTTATGTATGTTGAAAATGTAATATGAAGTCAATTTTTTTCTTTTTCTTTGCAAATAACTTTTTTTTCTTGCCTACCTGCAGCCTACATAAAAACTGGGTTGCAGTAACTTTTTTTGAACTTTTACTTGTTTTTTCCTGCAAAGTATTCATATGGGCTAGTTACCCCATTTGTTTATATTTAGGGTCCATTGAATTTGCATATGTTAAAATCCTGAGGTGGGGGTTTCTTATATTAAAAAACAAAATACCTGAAGCTGCTTCATCTTGATTGAAACTAGAATTTTAACAGGAAATTTCTCTTGAGTAAACCTTTATTACCTTATAATACCAAAAACTCTGACATAGTTGAAGAGCCAGCAAATTTCTGAGCCCCATACAAATCCTTATAAGACTTGCTTTTAACTTTTTTCAGTTTTACTGGAGGAATGTTTTTCTCTTTCAGGTATTTTACCAGTTCATGGCCTTCTAGTAAGATATGAACTGTTTAATGTAATCTGCTTTCTCCAAAAGTTTATATTATATACAGTACAATCCATCTTAGTTATATGGCCCATCCATGCTTCTATTAATCATTCTTCTGTAGTTTGTTTTAAGAGAGCAAATGAAATCTTTTTATAGTGAACTCAGATCTAGTGAAACTGATATTCTGTATAATTAATCTCTACTTATGCTACCCTGAAGTTGTTCTGGAGGTTGGAAAATGACTTTTCTATGATATAGATACAATATTAAGAAAATAATAAAAGCTGAAATGTGTTTTCCCTTTGGTTTTAGGTATGGGCAGCAATTCCTCCCTGGAAACAAGGCACTATATCAGAGTTTGTTGTAGCTAGTGGAAATGAGGTAACCATACCAAAATTTCAATATAAAAACAAAAATTTCAGCAGACTTTGTTTCTTCCAAAATCTGTGTAAATTGCTTTTTCACAGTTTTTAAATTTTATAGATTTTTAAAAAAAAATATTTTTCTACTTATGTAGTCAAGATATTTTGAAACATGGAAAATTCAACAGCTGAGGTTTAGTATAGCTTGTTTTAATTTGAAGCCTTGTGTAGTCCACTTGGTGGGTTGAGTTAAATCAGGGATTTAATTGTAATTTAAATTAGCAGGCAGGAAACCTTGATGTAAATAATAATTGATTTTAATCTTGTTTTATATTTATCTTTTTTAGTTATTTTCCTAAAGGAAGGTTGATGCTCACTGATTGGTAACCATTAAAACTTGTGGATTCACAACTAAACATAGACTTTATAATAAATGTGGTTGTGACGGGTTCCTTCCCAGGTGCCACCTGGAGCTGGGGTACCACTGAGCCCCCCCGACCCACCAGCCTGGGCTTCCTTTACACAGTATTGCTGTGACAAGCACTCTCCAGTGAAAAACCAAGATGATGTCACTCCCCTACCTTATATAGCTTTTGAATATGGCGGGAACCCTTTGTTTCAAAGCTTGGTTCCCACGCCAGTCAGTGGAAAAATACTGATATACCAAGATGGAGTCCAGCAGCAGGTGACCTGGTCACATGTCCCAGTAGTGTCACAGCAGCCTTGACTCTGAGGCTGTCTGCAGTGTCCTCAGGAATGCCCCCAAGTGGGAGATAAGCTTCTTCTAAGGCCTATTGTTTTCTCTAATGGCCCTTCCCCACCCAGCTTTTCAGAATGAAAGCATCTTGTCTAGTGAGCGTTCCCCAGGTGTAAACACATTTGTAATACAGATACATAGTCAATATTCCTAACCTCAGATACAAAAGTGATACATACATAAAAATAGGATAATCATATCAGGAAATCATAATCTTTTCAATGATATCTCGCATGACTTATCTTGCATAAAATACATCATAATTATTCCATAATCATATAATATATATCATAATAGCTCTATGAAGAATATGGGGTGCAGTGTCCGTGGTACTATTTTTTGTTACACATTAGGAGAATAAACTATACACATGTATATTGTGCTATATATTTGTTTAAATTGTATTCAGATTCTAAATTTGTTACATTTTATTTTAGCAAATGTGAATGATACATTTCTTATTTAGTACATGATTCATCTTTTACTTATGATTTGTGTCAAGCTCTATTTGCATGGAAACTAGAGTCTAGTTAAAAATTCACAAAATCAGCATTAATTTTTTTAGTAGTTAAATAAAACTACCTTATATATGCTGAATACATAAAAAAAAAGTTAATTTCAAATGCAGAACATGTTTTAATAAACTGATTTATTAAACAAAGTTGTTAGTGAATTGAATGGATTGTTTCTGGTCACCATGTCCTTCAAGATTCTAGAGCTAGAAGATCTCATCCTCTCACACTTAGCTTTTATTCATAGATTGGAAGAGGAAAACAAGCTTTCCAACTTTTTTCAGCTCTCAGCTGTTTTCTTAACTTTGAATGAACTAGCCATTGTACTGAACTAGTTCAGTAAACTGAAATTAAGAAAATATTCTCTCAGCACCTGCAGTCAACGCTCTTGCTGTCAAAAGCTGGGTTAGTAGCTTAGCAAACTCTAGTTCAGCGGTTCTCAAACTGTGGGTTGGGACCCCAAAGTGGGTCGTGACCCCGTTTTAATGGCATCGCCAGGGCTGGTGTTAGACTTGCTGGGGCCCGGGGCCAAAGCCAAAACCCGAGCCCCACTGCCCGGGGCCAAAGCTGAAGCCTGAGGGTGTGAGCCCTGGGTAGCAGGGCTCAGGTTACAGGCCCCAGTCTGGTGCTGAAGCCCTTGGGGTTTGATTTTGGCCCCCTCACCTGGGGTGGGAGGCCTCAGGCTTCGGTCCCCGCTCCTGGTGTTGGGTAGTAATTTTTTTTGTCAGAAGGGGGTCGTGGTGCAATAAAGTTTGAGAACCCCTACTCTAGTTCCAGGTACTTAGCCAGTGACTTCCTCCAGTTCAGTAGTATGACTCTCTTTAAAAGTTTTGCAGCAAACATTTACTGCTTAATATTATTTTTTATTTAATTTAAGTGATTTTAATAGATTATAGAGAAGGTTTATTTTTTTAAATGAAAACTGTATTTAACGTAAATCAAATGATTTTTTTAAATTGAAGTAAATATTAAAACTTTATTTTTTATCAACCCTGGTAGTCCACAAATATATTATTCATTGTGATTTAGACATGACTGATCTTCTACTTTAGATCTCTCACAAGCCCAAGTGTCTCAGTCACATGGAAGCTGCCTCTTTACCATATGTCGGTCTAACAGCATGGTCTGCAATGAACCAAATTGGGGGATTGAACCAAGATAATTGCAGTGGGAAACGGTAAGCAACTGGTCCTGGTGCTAATATGTTTGCACTAACTTTTGTGTGTTTATTTTTTGTATAGAGAGCTAACTGAATTTAATTTTTTAAGATAGGTAAAATAAAAAAATGAATGTGCAGAGTCATTCCTATATGCACAAAATGGTAAAGCCTTTGAATTTGCACTAGTATGGTAAAGATACAGAGATGACATAAAAAGCAACAGAGGGTCCTGTGGCACCTTTGAGACTAACAGAAGTACTGGGAGCATAAGCTTTCGTGGGTAAGAACCTCACTTCTTCAGATGCAAGAAGTGA